AAACATAAATAACAAACATCTAACGTTCCAAAAGTAAACTATAAATAATAATAATAATAATATTGAAAAAGTTACGAGAATACTGTGAACGTTGTCTTATCAAATTTAACCACTGAAAACAGCTTATTGATTTATGTGCATATTATACGAGGTAGTATCATGAGATACTAATATGATGCATTAAAATGTCATTTCCTTCCTCTTTTGAAGCTACATTATTCGTTCGTCGAACTTTGTTAAGTATTTTATCGATACGCTACACGACGACATATTATTTCGAAATTATTATATTCTTGGTCTACATTAATCAGCTACTAATCTCAAAAATTAATGTTTTGTCATACGCTTATAATAAACGACGTCCCGAGTTGTGCGATTAAATTTAATTCACAGACATACGTACATATATATGTCATGTATATGTGCTGTGTGTGTGTATATATAATATACTATTTTATCACCCTTTTTGATAATAATAATTACACAGAAGCTTAAGCCGGGTCTTAGCTGGCCGTGGCCAGTGAGTGTGTGTGTGTGTGTGTGTGTGTGTGTGTGTGTGTGTCTGTGTGTCTGTGTGTCTGTTTTTTTTTACATTCATCGTATCACGGACACCCAGATTACCCTAAGCGTTCCAATGTCCGCATCATCACGTACGGACCGTAAAACGCGCCACGCACAATAAACACAATTCGGTGGACCATCCGCGCCCGGCCATATATTAATGCATCCTCAGACATCGAGCTTCGTTCAAATTATCCCTCGACATATTTTGTAATATACCTGAAAGCCCCTTCAACGCACAACCGAAATTCGTGATTACCATAAACGCGTGATTAAGTGTTCGGGAATGAATATACTACTGCAGCGACAGAATAATGCGTGTACCTATATGGGTTCACATGTTATTATTATTTATGCCACAGCACATTTTATTATTATTATTATAGTTGTTCGAATGAAAAAAGAAAATTCCGTAGTTAAAATATTTTGGGTCTGACTTTTATCGATAGCTCAAATCAATTTCATTTTTGTGTAATTTATTATTGTAATAAACATTACATCATTTCCAATTACAAAAACACAATTAACTACAATCGATCGCTTTTTCTTTTTTTTTATTAGCTAAAGCATTTTCCACTATAAATAAACGGTTGTTTGCACTAAAAATGTGTTTACAACGAAGACTGAAAAATAATAAAACTATGAAATATTATATTTTAATAACATTAAATACCTAAGTCTTATCTTTATAATAAAATAATAAGTGTTCAACGTTATTGGTTATTAATTTATTATGCTTATAGTTTTAGACGTAGTCGCATACTTCAGAATACAAAGTATTTTGTAAATTTAAGTTTTTTTAAAAATACCTATTGTAATTATTGTAAATCAATTCAATAACCATATATAAAATAGCATATATGATTTAAAGTAAAAAAAAAATAGAAATTAATAAGGTTATCCTGTTAAAAACTGATGTCATAATTATATATTATATAGAAAATAATTCTGAAAAAAAATAAATATTTTTTCAAGGTATAACTTTAGTCTATGTCTTTTTATTTTTTACGCTATAAACCTGATATAAAATCAAGTCTTGTTTGTGATGTAAATTGTCGCTGAAATCATATTCGTTATCCCAAATGCAATCTGCGCATAAATATTATATACACATTTGGGACTGCGTTACGATTTTATCAAAGGTAACTACGTATCGTTACAATTACCCTCGGTGTGTGAGCATGTTAATTTGAATAAATAAATGACAAACGAGAGTGGGGTGCAGTGCACGTTGGAGTCTATACGAAAATATTAAAATAATAATAATAATAATAAATAAATACCTATTACCTACATACAAATACGTATTAATCGTATTATATTAACATGTTGAAGAAAAAACAAAGATAAGTAGGTGAATTGATTTTTGCGGTCTAAAGTCTAGGTACAACGCGGGCAATTGGCCATCACTAGTTATCCACTATTAAATAGTGTTAAACAAAAGAAGTTTAAAAATTACTATGAACATTTTATCTGACAAGTTATCTACAGCGTTTTGAATTACATTTCATAAAATGCATATTAGTATCAATTATTCACAACGAAATTATTGTAATTGAATGTATTATGTAATATCATAATTAAATTACTATTATTACTACGGAAATGTCTATGCAGTTTATAATATCGTACATTAGTCCATCGTATAAATTAAATGTCATATTTCCTCTTATGGTTATAGGAAGTTTCATAATACAAATATTATACTATAAAATTAGTAGCAACTAGCAATCGTACACATATGCGCAGTTGGAGCTATGAAATAAATAATAATATAATGTATAGTCTGTCCATCATAATATTACATTAGATATAATTATAAGAAGGTCCTCAATATTTGTGTACATATAATGTTATAATAAAAGAAAATTATAGAACGTATATTGAGTTGACAGCTTGATAAAAAATAATAGACATGTGCAATTTTTATACAATAACGCGGAGTTTAACAAAATCAATTATTACCATAAACTATGTAGTGTATTGATTATTGATTTTTTTTTTTTTGTTTAATCTTTAAATTTAATTTAAAAATACTACAGCCATACAGGTAAATATAGAGCTCCCAAAAAACCTTTTTTTTTTTTTAACAGAATACGCATTTCGGTCGAATGCACTCTGTAGATTTCTATATGGTTCACCCTCCACTGAAAATGGAATTTTAACAAAACAGATTTCGACCATACTCGCAAATGTATAATATGGAAATCAGCGTACCAACTACATAATATTCCGTTATCCGTACTAACAATTATTCTTTTCACAAACAAATAATAATAATAATAAACGAACAAATATTTGCCATTTACTTTCGAGACAACTTGCTTGCGGTTTCTTATTCCTATTTATATGAACTGTAGTTCATAAATAAAAAGAAAAAAAGTTACTATTGAGAAATGATAATATACAAGCTTCATGTCGTGGTAACTATATATACACGAATACTCATAAATTGTCTTGACTAAAGATGTTACGTTGAGATACACACGCACTGAGGACGTGACGACATAGCGTCTAGATAAGAAGTGGTCACGACCAAAAGGGTATAAAAATTCACCGTTTTCCAAAATAATAATATAAAAAAAATCTGACATTCCAAGGGGCGATACACATATTTTGTTTTTAACCGCCAGCTGTAAGTCGTCTGCTAACGGCCGAATCCACTCACGACGGCCGTTTTATTTTAATAGGACTTTTAACCGTTCTATTCTGGTGATATATTATATTATATGTATATACGATGACGAATATTATATCGTAAAAAACAAATCTCCACAGTGATCGTTACAGGGCTGCTGTGTGTATTTAAAAAATGGTTTTCTATTCGTGTGCCAACAGAGGGGTTTCTTGTCATATCAATCATAACACGCGGACATTGGCTCTTATCCAGTCAAAAAGTTTTCACACTAGTTACTCGAAAGAACCATTTTTAAGTTTTAATACTTAATAGTCCATTCAATTTAATGCATACGTCGCGCACAACTTGTACAAAACCCTGTGGCCATTTTAGTTCACCTCTATACACTCAATAAAATATGTTTTTAATAATTTTAATCACGCAACACGCATTAAAACGTCAATTTCAGTGTTCGAAAATTATCAGCAGCTCATATGATACAATATTCTAAATACAATTCACAAAATCGTTTTATATGATTAAGTATCAAACTTTAAAGATGAGTTAACAGGGGTTTTTTTAGGATAAAAATACAAATTCTGAGACTTTAAAAATCAAAATTATGAACAATTTCACGATAGGTAAAATATTTATTTTTTTAATTGCTTCACTGCGCAATTATTTTGTTGTGTCGGATCATTTTATTAATACTTCTGAGAGAAAAGCATTTTTCTATTAAACGTAATAATTTACACGGGTTTTGTTATTTTCATAACGGTTTTCTCTTTTCGCTTCATCTAACCAATATACCTACTGTTAACTAAGATAACGGATCAAAGAATTGTGGTTTGGATAATTCATTTTCTTTTACAGAAAAAGTTTAAAAACTAACAACATTTTGAATGGAATTTATACACATTTTGTTGGTATCTATTGTTGTTTTTTTTTTTATACATATAATGTTTGAATTATAACGTTGAGACTATGAAATACATAAAATTGTATTTTATATAAATAATACGTAGGTGTTATGATTGTGATGACTGTGTGTTCTTTTCATGAGTTCAAGTGTAGAATTCGCGTCAATCTTATTTGTCTTATAAAAGAACACAATGATTGTGAAAAAATAAGGAAATAAAATTACATGTTAAGAAAAAAGCCGTGTCATTCTAGTTCGTAATCGAGTGTAGCTCTAACTATTAAATACATAAAATAAAGAATACAACGAAGAACCTGCCTAATTGTATACAAAATTAAAATTTAATCACAATAATTGCAATTAAAGATTTGAAAATCTAGTATTTTTTGTATATTTTTATGATATAATATTATGTTTTAGTATACCTACAGAATGAATCATTTTAGCTCTGTTTTTGTTCTGATCAATGAGACCAACCACAGAAATAATTTTTTAAAAAGGGGTCCATAACTAACGTGTGATTGATGTGGCTAGTCGGTATTAAAATACAAACCAGTTCTGTCTAGGACTCGCGAATGGGGTAGCGAGGTCAACGGACAAAAGGATTTGCCACGAATCTGTCATGGCCACAGTTACAGCGTAGCCCTTTAGGGACGATGTTCAAGTTTCATTCGAATCACTTCCGAATACGATGTGGTACCGAAATTATTCACAAGAACCTGATATATTATATTATGATAAATACATATTCAACAAAATGTCCAAATCAGATTTTTAATACCTTCTACCAAATGAATAAACCTTATCACAATTATAATTGCCTATTAAAATACATTTTCAATAACTCCTATACTAAATTAAACTACCTATTACTGTACGTAATAATATGAGTTGGGCACTTACAGTCTTTCGATATCGGAGGGCAGATTCTTGGGCACTTCGTCCAGCCCTTTTCGGGAACAATCGGCCGTAGTCTGATCGCAGGAACACAGCCACGGGCATCTGGCGTTGTCGGCCAGATCGTTGAGGTCGTCGCCCCGGACCCCGGGGTCCAGGGCCATCAACAACAAACACAAGACACCGGACACCTTCATGTCCACGAATCGTTATCAACCCGAGTCGAGAGAGAAACGGAACCGGGTAAAAACAAACAAAAATACACCAATAACTATTACGATAACAACCACGTCCGATCTCACACCGGCCTCGAAGGTCCTGGTCGCGTGGCGTTTAACCGCATCGTATCTTCGCACTCGCCGAACGTACTTATGTTGTGAGTGTGTGACGTGAGCGAAAAATATTATTATTATTATTATTATAATAGATCGCGATCGAAGGGACGATGACGTACAGGGGTGCGGTATGCGTTGTGCACGGCGCGTCTCGCGTGGTGAACTGGACCGTCGACGGACGGATGGGGTCGGCACGACCGGCGCACAACGACCTCTGACGGTGCATGGTCACAACCGCCGACGTCGTCGCTCCAACGCAATAAAGGAGCACACTCGATTTCCTTGATCCTGCCAAACACGTTTTTTGTTTTCGTTTTTTACGTCTTTCTTTTAATTTTGTCACCGCGGCCCACGACTGTCGCCGCCGCCGTCTCCTGCACCGTCACGGATCATTTGAACGAAACTTTGGCCAGGGCTAGAAAAAATAAAAAAACTTATTTCCCGGCTAGCGGATGGATAAGTATACGTTTTCAACGCCATGTCCGCCACGCGTCTTTCGTTTTCCGCGGTCGGCTCGCATTCTGGTTTGCATTTAATCAGATATGAAAAAATAAATAATAATTTAATGCTGTATAAAGACCTCCTTCCGAGCTCTCTACACTCGCGATGCGTACAGCTGATATCAGACGGTTTTATTTTTTTATGAATTATGTCTTAACTCTTGTTCGTAGATCAACAGTTCGGTTTATTCAAACGTACAGTATACGAACCCACTACCCACGTATGAATGAGTTAAGTTCTTTCTAAAATGCAATATATTATATCGTACGAAATACCCAATGTCAGCTCAGTTGTACATGATTATAATGTACAGACATGTTATTTTGTTTCTTAAATATCAATAGTGTCGATCTCGTTGTCGACGGAAATTATTAAAATAAATACGTACATCAGTGGTGTATAATATTAAGTAGGTACCCGCGCAATAAATTTGCATTAGAAAGATAATTTTACCGATGACACAATACCGAGAGCGAACGTTGGTGGCATAATTAATGTATACTGTTAATATAATAATCTTATAACAATGGCATAGCAATTTTAATTTATACGTGAAATTATGTTTAATATTTACTCCGCGTTAAATCCAATATGTACCATTAAATATTGTAATCCATCGTGCAAAATAATGTCAATTTATACACTTTATTACGATATCAAAACAACAAACGATAATGTTCATTTAAAGTAGCCGAGAAATGTCAGTCCTAATTTATTGAACTGTCTATACATTATAATATAATATAATATTTTGTAGTCCCTTGTTGAAATCACTTTTACGTCATTGTTTTGTATTGTTTCGTTGCTGCTTCAATAGCCTTTGTATACTTTTAATTGAACTACAGCAGACGTGCGTGCGAATGTTTTGCACCGACTGCCGATATGAAAACAATTATTATTATGGTATTTACTGACTCTGAAAATAGGTATGTCTAATTGACTAATTGATTGACATCTTTCGTTTAATATAATATTATTATGTAATATACAAATGAATTGGAAAACTGTACAAGCTAAGAAAACAATCATTTTCATACTAGAATCTGAATTTGTGCAAATAAAAAAAATCGAAACCGACTCGTATGTTTGGCGTGATTTTTGCATGAATAATATATTGAACTACACAAAAGAATCACAAAAATAACAGTGGAAAAGTCAAAAGTATGAATTCAGAGGTTCGATCTCGAGATGTTCGATGGGTATACATAGTTTTGTTTGTTCCATTTTGAGACTCCGTGCAGGATAAAAACATTCCGTAGTAGTACCATTTCCATATTTATACACAAATATATCAGCATATTTACAATATGTGCTCATATTTCCCTATATTTTTTTATTTTTTTTTTCGTAAAAAAATTATACGGTATACCCAAAAACCTTTTTTGTTTGTTAAACATTATAATATTACCTACATCTATACGACTGTACAGAATAATAGAAGTTCGGTTGGAAATGGTCTAAATTGATACACTGGGCGCTCGTATAAACCCGACCAACAAATGTCATAGTACAGCTGCTTCTCTTTATTATCGCCATTACATCTCTCCAGAAGCCTCATTAAAAAGTATACATATACATTTAAATATATTATATTATGTCTACAAATTATATTAAACAACTTCTGCTTGGGACCCCTAGCTCGTTAGGCTGTCTCGATAGTAATATTTTTTGACACATAACATGTTTATAAATTCCTTTTAGTAGGTGTATATATAGGTACGTTCGTCCTGTTACTGACGAGATAAAAATATGAACAAATTAAAAATCAAAACAATCTTGAGGAACTTTATGTTTCATTATTTAAGACCTGTGATTATTTTAATGACGATGTATTTCTTTTTTAGAGACAAATCGCTATTTTTCAATAACAAAAAAAACCTTTGTATAAAATCTCTTAAAAATAAAATTTACCTATATTATTGTTCGGATCATCATCACGACAAATCGAAAACCAGTCATTCTCGAATCTTTTTCAATGTACTTATTATTTAATTTATCAAACTAAAAATACTATGCCGTACAACAAATTAAGTCGGCAGGCTGGTAGACACTGAACGGGTTTATATAGTGTATAGATACATGTAGGTATGAATGTCAACAGTGTACCTGCGTCTCATAATATTTATCGAGTAATTATAATATTATCATTATTATTATTTTTAATTCTATTATTAATATATGTGCCGCAGGTAGGCAGTAGCTCAACGCATTTATTCAACGAACCTGATTTTCAAAGTTTTTGTAATTTGACTCACGTGCTACTATAGGATATCGTGAAATCTTTTATTAAGTTTATTCATATCAAATTACAAAGATGTAGAGTTATTTTAAACTTGCTGCTTATTTTTTTTTTATAAAATCGAGTTTGAAATTCCAAAAACAAGTGGATAAATACTTAACAAGAAAATATTTTACTGTAGAATGTAACCGACTGTAACGGTTGTAACTCGTTTAGGTATCATCCTAAGCTATGTATAACCGCAAATCACAATTGATGTATATAATTGAATAAAGTACAGGTACACCTATACAGTACACCTAGCCGCGATGTTAAGTCAAAGCATGTTTATACATTTTCTCAACGGACGGACGGGTGTTTAAATTATTCAAATAAATAAAGTAAGATGCATTTACGAACTACATTAATCTTCTACTCGTTTTCAGTAATGGATATTGCATAATATGTACAACCATAAACCAACCATTTGCGACGTAAAAGTTTTTTTTTCCTATCGAGAAACAATATTGTTTTATTATAATAAACAAAATATCTATAGCAAACAATACGTCGGTCAGATTCTAAATCGTTGACATTGTAAAACATTCTCGTCGAAAAAATCAATTGGAATGTTTTGTCATAATATAAAATGCGGATATTGTTGATGTGCAATTGAATAACTTTTGTGGATATTATATTATTATACATGACTAGTCAATAATTAGTATAGTTATTAGTAATTTATATAATATACACATAATAATAATTTGTAATTAAGTATACATTTAATCCAGCAACTATTTAATTTAAATTGGGTGATGTCGGGATTATATGCACTGTGTCAAAGTTATTTATTTACATTGTTTAACATTAGAATACTTATATAACATAAAAGTTCTTTACAAATCACATGGTTTAAATTTAAAAAAAACAATTAATAGGTACGACGTACCTTATATATATATATTAATTAAATATATTGAGTATTTTAAATGTTAGGTATATCACAATTAAAGTATAATATTATAAGCCAATTTGAGAGTATTTTATGTCAAGTAACACAAATCAAGTATAAAAGTTCATTCATTTATTCAACTTAAGCCCCGATGAAAATTCGACTCTTAAATTAAAATTAAATCTCAAGGAGGATGATGAACTGAATGTAAGCCAAAGGAACGTGTCATTTTATTATTCGTACTGAGTCGTATTGAAAAATAAATAATTTAGATTTCTCATTCGCCTTTGTTCGACCTCCAAAATATATTATTGAAATTCAATAACGATAACTATAGCAAACAATGTAAGAACAAAGTCAACACTTTTATATTAAATTAGACACTTGCCTAGTTTTTAATTACCTACAGTCTGTATTTCAATAAATTGACGCGTCAAATTATACATTTATACGTACAAATATTGTATGTATATAATTAGTTGTCACTTGTTTAATAATTCATTTTTTGGAATCATATTTTTGTGGAACAACAAAAATACTAACAACAAACTAAAATTAAATCATATATTTTTTTTTTTTTTTTTTAATTGATCCTGAGCCCGGCAACTGTGGCCATTAGCTATTAGTAGGTACTGTAGGTTTTTGTATTGATGGTTTGTAGGTTTTTGGAACGGTAGGGGGAACACGTGTGTGTTTGTTTTGGCAGAATTTCGAATGGGGCACCCGTAGGTTTCTGCCATGCCCCGGGGGTGGGGGATGGCAGCACTTGCTCTCCGGTCACCGCGACTTGTCCGGAGAAAAATGCCGCCCGGTGGCCGAGGATCGAACCGCGACCGGCTGCGTCGCAGCGGAAGAGTCAGACCACTCGGTCACCTCGTCCCCCCATATATTTTATAATACTACGAACAAGTGGATGTTTATTATTGTTATTTATTAGTCAGCATTAAGTTGTATGCCATTTATGTTTTACAGTCATACCATTATAATAGATAGATGTTTAGTTTAATCATAGGTAGGCATTCTTCATTATATACTTACCTCCCAAGTCACAATAGTTATTTATGATAGACGGATGACACGAATATTGTATTGAGAAACAATGGGAGACACGTGAAAATTGATTTACTGGGCAGTGGCGTTTCATTTTGCAATATGTCACCTAATGATAATAATTAAGTGATTTACCAGGCGATTGCGATGGTATAATAGTCTACGATAGCACCTGCAGAAGTAAAAATATAATCGCTGTTTCTTCGATTGTTTCGTTGACAATAACTATTGATGTACGATTTGAAATGTACTATACTTTTATGTGATTGTACAATATTTTTATTTACATTAATGCTCATTTTACAGCCCAAAACCAGAAGTGAAATATGAACGAGTACATCTACTTCCAACGAACGTCTGAGCAGTTTATAGTTTTTAAAGTCGGCGATGTAATTTTTTATAAAATAACCGAGCATTGTTTTCGTATTTATCAAAATCAGCTGTTGCAGAGCGGTTACTCGGCAAACAACATGAAATTAATAAATTCAATATCATAGAGTTCGAAGGATTCAATTATAATACCATGACTTACACGCTGACTTCAGGAGCACATTGTTTCATGAATATATAAAATACTTCTCTAATACTACGAACAATAATAAGCGTACAGCACAGTTGATAATATTCTGAGTATTCATTGTTTTAACTGGGTATAGTCAGTGCCGGCGCTAAGTATTGCGGGGCCCTGGACATAGGTATTGGCCTTTAGGTTCTCAGAGTGGGGTGAAATTTTAGCTTTTTTTAAATTAGGATTTTAAAAAAAATACAGTTTTTCTTCGAATTTTAAACACTATGTCACTATAATAATATTAGGTTATTCTTATCCTTTTTTTTATTATAACGTGTTAACACAAAATTGATTAAAAATAATAAAATAATAACTAATTATATAGGTACATACAACAACAATATATAAATATATAATTGAAATAAGAACATATTAAAGTACAAAATCATTGTAATAACTAATCTTATGTCATTGTTAATAATTGTCAAACGTCAGCCAGTGGCCTTCGCGGCCGAGGCTTATTCTAATAAAAAAAAAAAAGAACATATTAATTTTATATTAAAATATTTTTTTTCTCGATTTACTCTGAGCAAATGCGTTGATGACTTCTTCATAATTTATCGATTTTGATTTCTCTTGTTCAATTGAAAGCAATGCAAGGTCCGATAATTTGTCTTGTCCAATTGAATTTCTTAAATACGACTTAATTATTTTGAGTTTTGAAAAACTTCTTTCTGCACAAGCCGATGCTACTGGTATCGTCAACATTATTCGTAATGAAATTGTAATATTTGGAAATGAACCACCAATTTTTTTTAACTCTGCCAAAGCTTGAAGAGGTGTAACTTCTTCGTCAACTAAAGTTCGAAAAATCACAATTTCCGCAAATAAATCCTGTCCATCTATATCTTTAGAAGATTCGTCCGAAAGAACTAAGTGTAGGTCTTTGCAACACTTCATTAGTTCATCGTCTTGCATATCTTTTAATTTACCAATGTGGTATAGAAAACCAAAATTATTTGAATATGATTCCAGTTGTTTAAAACGTTTATCCAATGATTTAATAGCCTGGTCCAATATGACAAAGAAATATGTTATTTTAAAATGTTCTTCTTCATTTTCAATAATTTCATCATTAGCTTCATAATCAAATAATTTCTTTTTTTTTCTAAGTCTACATTTTTTGAAGACTGATTCTGTGCCAACTAAATTTACTAATTCATTTGATTTGATTTTGGCTGATTCATAACCAATTTCTCTGTAATTTTTTAAATATTCAAGAAGACCAAAAACCAATTTGGTTGAAACACATATGTCCATGTTATGGTTCTGTAGACTTTTACTTACGATATTCGTTTCCATTAAAATGTCGTACCAAATGATCAGACTTAAAATAAATTCATAACTAGAAATTTCTTTTAATAACGATAGAGCTTCACTTCTTGCTACCAAATCATTAGTGTCATCAGAAACTTCTTCTAGAGCATTCATTATAAATGGCAGCTGAAAACGCAATGCTTTAACGCTATTTAAACGACTCTCCCATCGAGTTTCGGACCACTGTTTTACTGTAAATTGTTTACAGTTACTTTTTAATATATCCCAGCGACTAACAGAAGCTGAGAATAAAGTATATACGCGACGTAATATACCAAAAAAAGTGATGGCCCTTAGTGAGTTTTTCGCTGCATCACAGAGAACTAGATTAAGACTGTGAGCAGTACATGGTGTAAAAAAAGCCCTAGAATTTATGTTTGACTCGCCTTCTTTATTACTTTTTAAGTTATTTTCTTCATCATTATTATCACTTTTAAGCGACTTATCTCCATCTGAATCATCTCTTTTCAATGAAATAAATCTATTAATGGAGCCGCGTTGTTTATTAATAAACTCTTCATTCTTTCGTTTTTTCTGTCTTTTAGCACTTCCCGATTCATACTTTCTAAACATATCTCGTTCTCGACCAGCCATAATAACCTATGTTTTTTAATTATAAATAATTTGTATCAATAAATTTAAAAGTTTGAAATTGTTTTGTAGTTTTACAATGATTTTATGATGATTTTATTTGAAATTACCAGTGTTGTGCAAAGATAACCAACAAATTATATTTATATATTTGTAAATAAAATAATATAAAGTTTGTTCTATTTTTTCTATTATTTGCACTTTTCTCTAATATTGTCTAAGTACATTTAGGATGCAAACAACACTTAGGCTAATAATCACTGTAATCGAAGCCTTTGAATTAAAAAAAATAATAATAATAAAGTATAAGATTATGATTTATTTTACTATTGGAGACACAAAATAAGCAAAATCTGTTTTTTTTTGTTTATTACTTAATACCTAATTATAATTTATAAAAACATAATCACTTTATAATAAAACTTTTTCTTTTTTAAACATATTTTGTTTATAATCAGTTAGTATTACCTTATACTAAAATTTAAAATGATAACTAAACAATTACTGAATAAAAATTATAATGTTAATAATAAACAAAATAATGAACATAATATAGTTGTTTAGTAGTAGTAGTTAATATATTTGTTTAGAACACGTTATAGACACGTTTTAAGTAGATTGACAAATGACAAGTATTATATGTATTATTGATATTATTATATTAGGTATTATTATAGTAACTATAATTTAACTGTTATAACATGTGCAAGTTTGAAAATTTTTTATTTTTTTCCTTACTAGATTACCTAAATATTTTTATCTAGATAATGCACAAGTGCACAACACTGGAAATTACAAACTTTACTCTAAACTAAAGTGTAATAATAATTTCATAAAATGAAAACTTACACTTGTGATATGCAGAAATATTTGAAAAAATACAGGAACGTCGAACGTGCAAAGTGGACTGCGGTCAAATACTCAATTAATGTCGAACTTAATGTTAGATAATCAAATAAATATTTTAAAAATATAGCTTTGTACCCTTCTATAATACGGCGATACGGGAATACAATACGCGATTACGATTTCGTCGTATCGATAACGATTTACTCAGTTACTCTGTAGTTTGTACTATGGCTAAATTTAGATATCGTTTTCCAAATAACTGTAAACTGGTGATAGACGATAGTCATAATATAGATTTATAATTGATCGATATAAAATGTCAATGTGTCTCACGGTATTAAGATATGATAAATAAAAATCACGGGGCCCTTTAAAGAGCGCGGGGCCCTGGACAAATGTCCCATTTGTCCTCCCCTAGCGCCGGCACTGGGTATAGTTTTATAGAAACTATACATTATTACTATACATTTTCAGTATTGTTATTACCATTTATTATTATATTATTAATATTATATTTTTAAAACGTAGAAATAATCGGTGCTATTTACAAAAGTTTATAACTGCTTTAAATGTGATGGCTACAAAATTGTACTATTATTATAAAATTATATTATTTTATTAATTAATATAATATAATGTTGAAAGTGTAATACATTTTAATATTTATAATAGGATATATTGTAACGGTTATCGAGGTTGCCTTGTATGTGCAAAATTATAATATATTTTAGAAATGTATCATCATTAACATAATATTATTACTCTGAACAATTAATATCATTATTGTTCTTTGATAGCATTTAACAAACGGAAATAATGGCGACAAACAATACTTATTCGGACGATCCAATATATTTTTAATCAGAATATTTTAGAAAAAACAATTTACTAAAAAAACAAACGGTTCATTTTTAAACAAAATAATAAACAAAATACAATATGCAACTTAAACCTCTTAAAAAAAGCGCATTGTTTACTTAACGTGATATCGGTTTCAAACGATGAAATTCTACAAAGTGGAAGCAAATATATGATGCACGGCGCGGCTTGGCGTAAAATACGGTTACCAGTATACCAAGTATAGCGTACAAGGAGGATTTGATTGTTTCGTTTGTGGCCCGCAGAAAGCGGTTCGAAGATTATCGTGTAACACTATAACAGATTACTGCAAGCCGCTTTTACCAACGTCGCAGCATCGTATGAATCAACATTCAGCATCAAATCAAGTGTATTGCGTATGCCGCCCACTAATTTTTACTGCACGGAATGATTCACCGATTCTCCATTTTTTCTTTTGAAAAACTATGATTTTTAAGCATACTCGAGGATCCTACTTACCTTGATTTTGTACACTAAGTTTGTCTGACGGTACCAACACTGCCAACTTATTTTTTTCAGTGGAAACCAAACATTTTTTTACTGTAAATATTGTTAAGCCAATCGTTTTTTGAAAATGTCTATGTATCTAAATCAAATTGTGTGCATGTTGTGTTATTTAAATAATGTAAATACTAAGAGTAATAGTCCTTAAAAATGGTATTCTAATATTATAAATTAGATACAATTCGGATCTAGTATTTACCTTACAATAGCCTTACAGATTATAAAATATTGATAGGTTTATATTAATTACTTAAGTATTTATTTTCAAATCATTATGCCCATATGTCATTCAAATCTTCCATCGCGGATCAATTGTCTTTAGCACACAAAGTTAAATTATTCAACAGCTACTGTATCTAAATTTGATTTAGATACATCAAAATTTTCAAAAACGACATCTGAATAGCAATTTACAAGAAAAAAAGTTATCATATCAACAAAAGAAGTATGTAAGTACCTCAGCTACAAGACACTCTAAAAATAAAAACTCTAAGTATATATTTGAAAATATTGTTTTTAATGTAGGTATTTATAGGTAATTAAAAAATCTAAAAGTCAGATAAAAAAAAATGGAAAAATGGAAATGAGTATGCTCAGTGAACCACTTTGTGTGTACATAATATGCCAACGGCCACAACTGTCACATGGGTGCATGGTTTGAAATATTTTCGGTACCTACTAGAAACTCTGTGAGATTCACTTCGTCGGGTGAATAATTCACGTGTGACGTTCATTCGCACATACGATGCTTATAATTACGGGTACTGAGGTGTACTTTATGCCATACCCTCTCATACAATATGTTATAATATCTCATCCAACTAGAAATATTAACAGTCGACGGTTAGTTTAAAATTTAAATAGTCGAACTGAAAAAAAATGATATTGTTGTTTTGGGCAGCTTGGGAAAAAAACGACCACGAAGTTGGCACCTTCATTGTTTTGACTCCAAACCAGTGCCAATATTTTGTAACTGATTTGCAACAATTTTTAACGCTTGCAATATTTTGATTTTATTTATACTACTGCGTGACTTCGGCAACCACACTCATTGAATCCACCGAATTTGAGCGTTAACAAGCTAAAAATTAAAACTAGGTTAAAACATTTAGTTAATGGATTTATTAAACAGTTCAAATCCAGATGAGCATAGGAAAGAGTTTGCCAATGAATCAACACGCCCACCGCACATTCCTCGTAAGCCCTCCAATGAGACATTATTGAAGATTCATATTATTACAAAACGAAAGAAATGTTTAGGACTCGAGGGGGGGGGGGGAGAGAATAATCAAATGCCTATTAAAAAATCGAAAACTGTAATTCTGATAAATCACGATTTCTGCATTCACGACGTTACGCAAATAACGAGTGAAGTCGGAGCGCAGGAAAAAATAATAACCGTCTAGTGCCTATGGTCTATCCTCAAAAGGAACCTGTGAATAACAATAAGTATATAGGCGACACGATGTGCTTATTACCTTGACGTGTACTCAGACCGTATAATCCCGGGGAAACGGGCGACGCGTTTCGCCTGACCGGAAATGACTATAGGCTCATCGCTATGTGAACGTGGAAGACTCGTTCCGCTGGAATTTCGTCGTCCTGCCAAGACCGAATTGATGTGCGTACTGGAGGACGACAAAGCGAAGACGGTCTGATCGAAAATCAAAAGGCTCGACGACCGGACGACCTTGTATAGACGTGGGTATATGCTGGCGAACACAACGTTTGATGGTAAACGACAGGAATTACCACTGTTACCGGGCCGCTATATATCCGGTGTTATATATAGTAGGTACAACGAGGACTCGTTGAGTTTATACCGCGGTCGAGGTGACGACCGCCGCCATTTATCTGGTTTCTCGCTATTGGATTGTATTTTCGGTCGTTCAGTTGGAGTAATTAAGGAAATCAGTTGCCGCCGATCGTTTTCCCCGCAGATTACGTCGTGCGCCGTTCGATTTTCGATCAAACCGTTTTCGCGCTACCGCTCGCGAGTGCGTAAAGTGTTGTGCAGCGTGACGAAGAGTCGGCGAATGAATATTATTGTTATCATATTATTATAATGCAGTGATGGATTTTAGCGAGAGACAAAATAGGTGACCGAATACGTTCGTTTTAGGATCGACAATATCGTATTAAGATTATCCTCTAAACTATTACCAGACATGTCCGACTTGCCTGACCGTCAAATCTGCCGCCGACCATTTGCAAAGCTTACCGATTGTTTTTTTTTCGAGAACACCGTCGTAGGTGTTGCAGTATAATTGTTGGTTTTATACTTATTTTAATATAATTTTCGTGATTCTAGAACGATTTATAAAGCACGGGCCCAAATAATTATTAGTCAGACAATATTATGTATATTGTTTTTTTATATTTAAATATGTAACTATGTAAGGAATGTAGGTACTTAGATATACAAGAATTAACGCCCTAAAAACAAATACTCGTGGATAGAAAAAAAAAGTCGTACGGAGACAGCAATGGTGGTGTTAATCCGTCTCAGATTGTAAGCGCATGTCTGCGAGGACTCATCACTTCCGGTCCAACGAAACGTGTCACCCGTTTGCCGAGGATTTGACGGTTGTCTCTCGTCGAGGTAAGTCGCACATGGGTCAAACATTAATTGTACCAATTGTACCATATAATACTGTTCACTCTAAGTGTAGCGTTCGTATGATACAACATATAGGGCTGTGCACTCCAAGCCAACTGATCAAACAGAGTTGTGCTCTGGTCATATAGTTATTTGTCAGGAAAAAGTTATT